CTTGTACAATTCGTTTAGACAAAAGAGGAAGTAGCAGAATGGGATTCTTGTTCATGCTGCCCACAGTGCTAAGGCATAATTTATATACATTATATAATTCTGCAAATTTTGGGTGGCCTGAACACTCTGCTAGCTCAGTAACCTGTAATTTTAATTCAGACATTTGACCCTTAAATGCAATTTTCAGATTTTACATGTTCTAAAACTAACAGATACACCACATTCTGGCCGCAGCTTAAAAAAAGACTGCATCCCTCAGGAGTATCCTGTATAATTTCAGATCCTATGAACACTATGTTTTCTTTTAGGATTTTCCAGCAACACTTTGTTATATGATATAATTGTACCTGTAATACTAAGTGTGGACTCAGGTCCTATAAGGTGTGTTATAATGTTTTGTTTGGACATCAGTTCTGTTTTCAAAGAGGTTAATATCCATATAAAAATCCAATCAGTTTCAGGCTTCTATTAAAAAATATATATGAAATATCATAGTCTTCCAAGATAACATATTTATAGTGCGACACCTATACATGTCTACTCAGATGTAAGTCCCATTGAATCCTGTGAGGCTTACTCTCTGGAAAGTGAATATAAGAATGCAGTATTAGCAATCCATGCCTTATTTTAGAATTTTTACCAAAAAAGGGAAATATTCAGCAAAGTCCAAAAACCTGCTACAGTATATTGCACCTCTAAGGTAGAACTTCAAGAAATCAACATATTTTAAGAACAATGATTACAGTGTTTTGATTCTGTTATGTCTCACAATAGCGAAACAGGTCAAGCTGTTCCTGGTGCACATACTTCTTTCTTTTTAAATGTAAAGGTATATTGTTTTTCACATATACACTTTGTGCGTGATTCCGGTTAAATATGAAACAGCAGCAGAAGCAATGTTTAGTAGTAACAGGTTAAAAAAACTGAGGTACTTCTGAGGCATAAGCTTAGATGGAATAAATGATGTGAACCTCATCAAGTTTGATATCATACTTGTATGTGTTATGTGCTATCAAGCTGTAACTAACCTGTAGTGGCCCTAAAAAGCTTTCAAGATAAGTGAGATACTAAAGGAGTGGTTTTACCCATTGTGCCCCTCCCCAAGTTTCCACAACTAGCAGAGATTCAAACTCAGGTCTCTCGAGCCCTATGTGTTTAAGGTTGCTACATCCAAAGGTATAATAGCCATGAGGACGACATCAAGAAAAAAGAACAAGAAAAAGACGCAAAAGTTTTATTCTAAGCACAAACAGTTCTTGAGCTAACCTATCCTTGTTGTCTAAATGGCGCCTCTGTTTATATTTAAGACGACAGATCCGTAATTTGCAGATCTATTTTATTTGAACAGCAGAGTTGAAATAAAATAGATCTGTGAAATAGACTGAACCGTTCAAATATATAACCTTTTTGTTGCTTCTTCATTTATTCATCAGGCTTGGTCCATTGTTACAGATGACTCCTGTTCTCGGAACAAAGGACCAGTGGACAGTGTTAACCTAAGTGCAGAAGGTTAAACCCTTTCAAGATAAAAGAGCTCTTTTAAAGCGAATAAAAACTTAAAAGAAATCAAATCAATGGGGATGCTCAGATAAATTTGCATGAAATTTCAGTTCCTGGTTATTCATAAAAATGATCAGTGTATATTTGATTTGGAACAACTTTTAAGAGAATATATGTCCTATATATTATAATTTCCTACATTCTCTCTGCCATGGCAAAACAGAAGTCTCCGTTCTCAAAATATTGCGCATCATGCCAATTCCATCCACATTACATGACTGAATTAGATGGTATGGTGAATCTAGTATCCTGCTACTCCACTATGAACGTGAGTTAAGTGTCCCAACCGCCCCCTTGAGAAAATTAAGAGATGTCTCTCACATGTGAATTTTACAAAGGCCCATTCAAAATTTAAAACAAAAACATATGTCTGCAGTGGATTCATTCTTCTTACCTACTTGTTGTTTTGGGTGTTTTTTTAAAAGAAAAATACACCCACAAAAATCAGTGGCAGATTGTAGAAGAGTATTTACTTAAATAAGCTTTAAAGGCAGCAAATTGAGACAAACCAACTTTAGCTCCAAAACATTTTAGAGTATAGTTGGAAGTACTTTAAATAAAGGCAAAGGCAGAAATATGGAAATTACTACAGTAGAGCACTGTATGCTGACTATTTTGCTCCCTTTATCTTTCTCATTAGAGGAATTGAGGTCCTTTCCTTTCGATTGTGCTTCCTTGACTTCTGCAGACAGATATGGATTTAAAGGGATTTAAGAATGCCATTTCCAGCAGGCAAATCCTGTGTCCATGCAATTCAATAGGATTTACTCCCCGAACGCTGTCATACTCTGTGCCATTTGTGAGTGCAGACTGATGAACAGATCCAAGAATTTACACTTCAACTCATTTCCAAAAATTACCTTTTCTACCAATTATCTGACTTTCTTTCTCTGTGAAAATTATTGCCCTACCAGTTTGCATTCTCTCGAATTTCTCAAATTAAAATTTTAGTCCAAGGGTAACTGCTATAGTTCAAATCTATGTATGTTGACTGAGAAATCAGTCTTGGTGAATTTAAAGAGACTTAATTCCAAGGGAAGTGTGTATAGGATACTACTGTTACTCAGGTGTACAGGCTGCGTCATATCATGGTATCAATCTTATTGAAGCTGAAGTGACTAGACTGGTTTACATCCACGCATTCTGGCACAAAGGAACTGTGGTCTGTGCTTTGTTATTTGCCTCATACAAAATATAGGCCATTTGTCTTCATTAATGCATCTATAAAGAAACCTTTTCCTGCTTTAAAATAGGTGTTGCTTTCAGTGTTTATTCCTAATTTTCCAACATAAACACACAGCCTTAAACTGGTTTACCACTTGCTTTTGACAATAGAGGATTATTTTTTTTAAAAAAAGATGCTTGTCCTAATTGTGATTTGTGCCATTTCCTCCATAGGAAAAAGATACAAAGCATAAAGGTTACTTTTCATTTAAAATATAAATGAAAAGTCATTTTGCATTGATACGTTCAACCCCACCTTGTAATAATTGTAAAGAGGCTTTAAAACTTTTACCTTTCAACATTTAATTAGTCCAGATTCTAATACAGATTTGTCTTGTTAGAGGTAATAAGAATGTCCCCTAGGGTTACATCTATGCATCAGAATTCAATGCATCTATGCAATTATACAAAGGGAGAGTTGAATAAAATAAGAATGAGACAGCATGTACATCTCATTATAGATAGCACTGTTTACTTACAGGTCAACCCACACTGAAGAAAAGATTCTTATTCTCTCGTTGATTGTACTTAAGAGTGGAAGTCTATAACTTCATCCAAAATTAGTAAGCATGTTTATGTTTAATTTTTTTAAAAAATACACGGACCAAAGGTCTCATATACATTTAGTTGGGTGCAATTCCCACTCAGTTTACCTCTATGTAAACATGATATTATAATAACTTTACACTTAGGGCTGGGGAAGGAAAAGAAAAACATCCTGCTTCACCATGCAACTAAGCTAAAATGCTTCATTTAAATCGGGCTGTTAACTAGGTTATGTATCAGACAGCACTTAACAGTATTAGAAATATCCATCTGTATAGATGGGTATCAAGAAGCATAATGTAATAGTATTAAATTATATCCCTCTGTAGTGAAATAGATAGTGCATTTTAATATATGCTTATTTAAAACCCATCAGTCTTTGTTTAGGTATTGATATACAAGCAGAAACCACCAGTTTTTATTTTGACGGTCATAGTTTTAGCACTGGATAATTACAAGAAATGAAAAAAGATGGCAAAAGCTGTAACTGGAGACGAACTATCATGAAATGGGCTTATTATATTCTTTAGCTGTTTAAAGAACAGCATTTTGAATTCTCTAAACCCTGTCCTCTTGCTAAAAAATGTTATAAAAATTAATTCAATTGGACTACTGCCATAGTTTTACAAACTCAAGCTTACTTACATATAAAAACAAACACTGGTCTGATGTAGAATCCGCATCACTTGTAAAATCCTGCTACTCTGAATCTCACCACATTGGAACCAAAGTCGCCTGAATTACATTTTAATTCTCAAACCTCACAAGATCCTGATCCTCAATCATAAATTAATACCCGTAGTATATCAGTATACAACTTCTACATATTAGGTACAGGCTTGCACAGAAAGCTCACATGTTAAATCGTTCTCCCCTAAAGCTATTCAAGAGGGAAATTCAAGCCTCTACAAAAATGAAGGGATGATTTCCTTCCCAGTTCTGTTCTCTGTAGAGCAAAAACAAACCCAGGGATGGCCAAGTAAAACTCGGTAAGCATACAATTTCCACTGAATAGAGAGGGTGAGATGTGAAAGTTCTTACTGGAAGTGGTACACAGCTGTGAAAATAAATTTCTCCTCCTGTTGGTGTTCGGTGATGTTCTATTATTTTGGTTCCTTTGTAAAAACCCGTCGCCAAACGAAGCACAAACAGAACCAAATGGGCGTAAGAAGTGCTGGGGAGCGGGTGCAAGCTGTATGGGGATCCATAGAGTGGAGGAAGTAATTTGTCCAGGATTCCAAAGCACACCAGTCCGCTTTAAGCGCAATTGGCTAAAACATGGGGCGGGGGGTGGGTGGGAATAAAAATACCTACGGCCAAAGCAACGGGAAATCATAAGCGCTGGTCGCTTTTATCTGACGTTAGGATGGCAGTTCTATTTCCAAAAACGAAAAAAAAAACGTGTTTAGGATCGCAAACGCGCACCCTCGTCCTAGGCATTTAGAACCAAGGAAAGTCTTGTGGTGCCTTAAGGATCACCAGGATTCGGGCGTATGAGCTGCCACCCACTTCCACGGGATGGCGGTCCACAGACACATACAGCGGCTGCAATTCAGCCGTGAGTAACGACGAGAGCGGGCCGTGGACTCGGTGGGGATGTGATGACTCAACTCCGGCGTAAGTTCCACCGATTCAATGGGTCTACTCTGGTTGTGAGTTACTAACGGGTTTCAGCTAAAGGACTGAGAACTGTTTTTGCGGCGACCGGCTTACTACGGCGACCCCAACCCCTCGGAAAACCCAAACCCACGCTCACGTTGCATAAAACTCGGCAGAAGGATTCTCCCGGGTCGGAGGAGTCCTTTCCGCTCACCGGGAGCCTTACCGCCGGGAGCTTTCCTCCGTCTGTGGCATCCAGCCTACGCCTACCTGTGTGTTGGTGCGCACCCAGGGGAGACAGCCCCTTGAAAAGCCGCCCTTGCCCC